TCGAAATACCAAAATCATTAAATTTTAACAGCACCTGCAATGGCCTACCATAAGCTAACCTTTCAGGAAGACGAACTTCTGTACAAGCAGCCTGCCCACACATGGATAAAAATTTGTCCTGTCCCTGCTGAACTGGTCCCTGAATTTCGATCCATGTATAGCCGGCTTTTCAGGGGCGCCTAAAGGTGGGCAGGGTAGGAGATAACAGGACAAACTGAGGTAAAGAGATCTAAAGGATGAGAGAAGCTCTAGAGAAGTCCTGGAGGTGAGAATGAGAAGAGGTAACAAGAGGGTTTGAGAGCAGAAAGTCTTGGGAAGAGCGCAGAGGACAAATTTGGTTGATATTTTTGAGACAAGGTTGGTGATGTAACGGAAGCAAAGTTCTGGATGTCTTTATATGTTGTCGTTTAGATATATTTTAAAGGAAAACTACATCTTAGTATGGTGGTGTTAACATTTATATGATTATCATTGATGCATAATTATATTTTAACTCATTTATGGATGGTGACCATGTAACCATGACCATAATAAAAAAAGAACCAATATGTGCAAAAGACAACACATTCACTTTAATTTAAAGTGGAAGTCCAACCAAAACCTAACTAACTAAGCTTAAACCTGCACCCACTCCCATTTTAAGCCCTATGCTATCTACTCTGTAAAGCAGGGGTGTCAAACTGACGGCCCTCCAGCTGTTGCAAAATCAACTGGATCAACTGTGGGTGTAGGATTATAACATTTTTTTGTATGGATGGACTTTTTTTTTTTTTAACTAGACTAACTATGTATCTACCTAATCTAAGGGTGCTCTGGTATGGTCACATGATCTCTTCAACAGCCTGCTTCAGATGGGAGGAAAGTGACAACAGCTGCAGAACAAAGCGGTGATGTCACCCATAGACTTACTATAGGGGAATCATTGTCCACTGTCCCTCCTCTCCCCTTCAGCCAGCGCTGAGAGCCAATCATGTGACCAGAACAGAGTGCCCTTGGATTAGGCAAGTATAAGCATCTTTCCTGTACAGGGCAGTTAGTATAGGGCTTAGAATGGTTGTGAGAGCAGATTCAAGCTTAAGAGGAACTTCATCCTCGCAATCAACAATGACTATTTTGAATCCTTATTCTGCTAGCATTATTAAATAGATAGGAAAGTATACTTTACATGTTTTAAACTGTTTTTTACATTTCTTTAGGTACTTTCTAGTTTCCATGCCTAGGCAAATGATGTCATATATTCCGGAAGTTTTTGGAGGGTTTTTTCTGCCAAGCACACCCTCCTGCATGCATGCCTGAGCTAAGTGCAAATGGATTCCAGGAAGTAAATAATATATGAATCATTTGCCCTTACTCAAAATAGCCATGGCCAGAAATGCTAGGGGGTGTTTTTGGTTTGTGGTCCTCAGATACAGTGTAGTTCCGCTTTAGTTAGGTTTTGACCAGACTTCCACTTTAACATAATGAAAAGTCAACACGTGAAAGCACCCCCCCCCCCCCCCCCCCCCCCTTTCATAATGGCTGTAACAGGCTGGTTGATCTGGTAATTCAGACAAAAAAAACCTCATAAACTGGTGTTTTTGTGGCATCTGCAGAAAACCCAATATCAGTTTGTTTTATGTTTAAATAAATAATCTGCATTAGATATATGGAATTGAGACTCTCTAACTATCTAACTACACTGTAAATGTTCTTTGTTTACCTTTCACATTATTACATTAATTCACTAGTGCACAACATTCACTTGAACAGAACAGAATGTTAATGATTGACCAGTCTTGGAGGTCACTATGTCAAAATTGGCACAGACGGGAGTTGGGCAGTTTTTCCAGACTCAGGAGGAACACATGTGACCATACAGGTGTATACACAATATTTAATCATTTAACCACCCAAGGGATAATATATGCAAATCAACCATATTCCACAGGGTCATAGTCAGATAATCAGTGAAAACATGATTCGCAAGCTACATTCCCTTTACAATGCACTGACATTCAAAACGGTTCATGTGCTGTAGATGGAGGGCAAGGAGTACTGTGTCTATCTGACAGGTGATTAGTATTAAAGTATATATAAGCTAAAAGTTTTTAGTTTTTTTTAAATAGAATAGGGGAGTATTAAAGCATTGCTAGTTTTTTTGTCATCGGTTTCTCATTATGGAGATCTTGCTTTACATCCTGTCCTGTAGACTCAACAGGAAGTGTGAGGATTTCTTTCCAATGTGAGGGATATCCCCTTTTAGACAGTTGTCACAGGGACATGTGTCCCCATTGGAAGAGTTCCCTTTTATTACTGCTCTGGTGGCAATTCAAAATTTTGGGTTTTTCCTCACTTTCATTCCCAGGGACATTGGTGAACAGGACAATTAGAGATTTTTTGCAGTCTTTGTCCCTGCCTCACTCTAAAAGTGGTTCTAACATTATTTTGTTCCAACCAATGCTTAAAAAAAATAAAAAAAGATGTTTTGCCTTTAGAGTGGTTGTAAACCTCAGACCTGAATAATGAACAAAGCATATCCCCCCATAGTGTGTGCATGTCTCAGTCCAGAGTACTAAGTACCATTGCTGTCTGCTGCCTGTTCCTCTGCTATCAGCATGAATCACTTCTAACAAGTTTTCCTGATACCAAGAGAAAAATTATGACAGGGGAGGGAGCAGATTGACAGCTTCAGCTCTGTTCCTGTGAGCTGAATCAGCTCTCTTCACTGATGTAACTTGAGCTCCCCGCCTCCTGCCTTTCAGAGCTGAGAGGTCCTGTGTAAATTCTGCACTTTGAATGGCAACTCCTGTGCACAAAACACCAAGGCAACTTCCTGCCTTTCAGGAGCATCTTGGAGAGGTTGACTTTGACATCAATCAGGCTAATGTGTTCAGCCCTCCTTTCACAGGAAATTCTGCACCCACTGACTCCCCAGATCCAGTGACACTGATCTGACACTACTAAAAAGCAATAACAGTGCAGAATGCAGTCAGTAATTTTGATTAAAAAACAACAGAAAGTTATTTTATTGGACACCATCCCTGTATTATTATGCTGTATCTCATACCAGGTGCCTCTTCTGTCATGTAGGACATGCTTCATTTGTCCATCCACATAAGCCATCATGTCTGAGAAAATACATTCTTGCTATTTTACTCAATTTTTTTACCATGGGCATTAGTAGACCCAGACATCTGGAGTATGTGCTCTTGCAACATGCTGGGTAGAGTAATCTTTGGCAGACAGTGTCTTCACAGTTCCAGCACTGAAATCACTGATCTGTGCGGGAGCAGTGGCGCTTTTCCACTCTTAGATAAGTAACCACTGACACAAATGATCTGTTTGTCTCGCACTGAACACCAAAGTAAGAGGACATGTCTGTCACTAATCACCAACGTAAGGAGGACCCTAGACTTCTTAATGACGACCAACTTAGGAAGGAATTACACTTTACCACTGACCACCAATGTTAGGGGGCACTGCATTTTACCACTGACCACCAATGTACAGGATTGCTACACTGACTACTTTACACAGTGCATACCACAGATATCCTCCTAACCACTGCACTCTTGAGAGCTATGCTGTATATTACACACTTCTGACTGCTGTACACCAAAAGGTGTGCTGAATATCATTTAGGGCGGCTTCAAGCTGTCCCACTGAGCATTTACTAAAGCGCAGCTAGGTCACAGTTTTCTTGTGGGTTAGCTGCGCTTTACCATAGACTTCTATGAGCTCCTACGGTTTTGGTGCAGTTTCAGAAAGCACACCAATATTCCTGCATGGTGTATCTTTGGTGTTCTTTATGAAACAGCACTAAAACTGTGGGACATCATAGGTCTATGACAAGTCTATGGGAAAATGCTATTAACCAGCACAAACCCGTAGTTTAGCTGTGCTTTGCCCAAAGTACAAATGGGACCATACTGGGGCAGTGTGAAGCCACCCATAATTTTAACTGATGGTTTATGTAAGCTGTGCTGTACATTACATATCCCTGATCATTCATTGTCTATGTATGTAGCACATACAGCAAGTATACTCTGATTCTATTCAACGTTGCCCCTTTAAGCTACACCCACTGTTGAATCTGATGTGGCAAGATGTACAATTTGGTAACATCTGTCTAAGTGCACCCAAGGGTGCTCTAGTGCTTTCACAATTCTAGCAACACCTCTGTTATTGACAACATTCTAATTCCTGCCTGCTGGATTATTATTCACACATCAGAGTAAAAAAAGACCAGGAGTGCAGTTTTATGAAAGATTGTTTCCTGTGGTGGAAGGAAAGTAGTCTGGACAGACTACCCCAATGACATCAATACTTCTAGATGGAATTTGGAAGACAGGAATCTGCATCAACACCCTGTGATAAATAGGTGTTGAGAATCCAATTTTAGACCCGCTTAAACAAACATCAGAATGACTATTTTTACTAAATCTGAACTCTATGCAGATATAAGCCACACACCTTAATGTAACTCTGTAAATTATTAATAGATCATTAAACATTTCATTAATGCAAGCAATACAAGTACCCTAATGTGGCAGTCCCTGTACAGCAGGACTCCATTGTGAGAGGAGGAAGCAGCAAGTCAATTAGTGCATGTGCTGACCAGAAGCATGTTGCTTGGAATAGAAAGAGTGACACAGACATGAGCTCATTACCATGCTGCTTCTCTTTTCACTGTCCATTTCTCAGGCTGGGGTTAGTCAATGACAGCCTGGGCTCAGGGAAGTGGGATAAAGGGTGCTGGACAAGGCTAAGGACATCTAGCGGTGTAAAAGAAGTATTGCTAGGTGGTGGTGGAGTGCCGCCTCTGGACTGAAAATGTAAATTATTGCAGAAAAGGATGCTTTTCTATTTTAAGGTTTAATGGGCAAATAACTTCCATCTTACTGTTGGATGGAGTTCTGTTTCAAACACTTCATATGTATATAAAAAACAGAAAGATGTTAGATTTTTTGTTTGTTCCCTTTAAATTTTATTGGATAGACTACACAATTTTAGTCACTTACATTGCCCAGGCCTTCATCGTGGGACAGGATGATATTGTACAGAATTCAGAGATGGAACCATACATGAGGCTGACGTGGTTGTAGAATGCAGATGCTATAAAAAAGAACAAAGTTAAAATAAATAACAAAACTGTGTGTATATATATATATATATATATATATATACAGTCATGGCCGAAATTGTTGGCACCCTTGATATTTCTCCAGGAAATCATGTATTTCTCACGAAACGTATTGCATTAACACATGTTTTGCTATACACATGTTTATTCCCTTTGTGTGTATGGACACAAAACAAAAAAAGGGAGGAAAGAAAGCAAATTCGACATAATGTCACACAAACCTCCAAAAATGGGCTGGACAAAAGTATTGGCACCCTTTCACAACTGCGGATAAATAAGAATGTTACAAGCATGTGATGCTCCTGTAAAACTCACCTGGGGCAAGTAACAGGTGTGGGCAATATAGAAATCACACCTGAAAGCAGATAAAAAGGAGAGACGTTCACTTAAACCTTTGCATTGTGTGTCTGTCTGTGCCACACTAAGCATGGACAACAGAAAGAGGAGACGAGAACTGTCTGAGGACCTGAGAACCAAAATTGTGGCAAAATATCAACAATCTCAAGGTTACAAGTCCATCTCCAGAGAACTAGATTTGCCTTTGTCCACAGTGCGCAACATTATCAAGAAGTTTGCAACCCATGGCACTGTAGCTAATCTCCCTGGTCGTGGACGGATGAGGAAAATTGATGAAAGATTGCAACGCAGAATAGTCCGGATGGTGGATAAGCAGCCCCAAACATGTTCCAAAGACATTCAAGCTGTCCTGCAGGCTCAGGGAGCATCAGTGTCAGCGCGAACTATCCGTCGACATTTAAATGAAATGAAACGCTATGGCAGGAGACCCAGGAGGACCCCACTGCTGACACAGAGACATAAAAAAGCAAGACTACAGTTTGCCAAAATGTACTTGAGTAAGCCAAAAGCCTTCTGGGAAAACGTCTTGTGGACAGATGAGACCAAGATAGAGCTTTTCGGTAAAGCACATCATTCTACTGTTTACCGAAAACGGAATGAGGCCTACAAAGAACAAAACACAGTACCTACGGTAAAATATGGTGGAGGTTCAATGATGTTTTGGGGTTGTTTTGCTGCCTCTGGCACTGGGTGCCTTGACTGTGTGCAAGGCATCATGAAATCTGAGGATTACCAAAGGATTTTGGGTCGCACTGTAGGGCCCAGTGTCAGAAAGCTGGGTTTGCGTCCAAGATCCTGGGTCTTCCAGCAGGACAATGACCCCAAACATACGTCAAAAAGCACTCAGAAATGGATGGCAAAGAAGCGCTGGAGAGTTCTGAAGTGGCCAGCAATGAGCCCAGATCTAAATCCCATTGAACACCTGTGGAGAGATCTTAAAATTGCTGTTGGGAAAAGGTGTCCTTCCAATAAGAGAGACCTGGAGCTGTTTGCAAAGGAAGAGTGGTCCAAAATTCCGGGTGAGAGGTGTCAGAAGCTTATTGATGGTTATAGGAAGCGACTGATTTCAGTTATGTTTTCCAAAGGGTGTGCAACCAAATATTAAGTTAAGGGTGCCAATACTTTTGTCCAGCCCATTTTTGGGGTTTTGTGTGACATTATGTCATATTTGCTTTTCTGCCTCTGTTTTATATTTGTTCCAATACATACAAAGGGAATAAACATGTGTATAGCAAAACATGTGTTAATGCAATACCTTTTTTGTGTGAAATACTTGATTTTCAGGAAAAATATCAAGGGTGCCAACAATTTCGGCCATGACTGTATATATATATATATATATATATATATATATATATATATATATATATATATATATATATATATATATATATATATATATATGCCAAATGTCACAAGGTACTCTCCTCCCCTACCATAGTTACTGGAACAAGACTATAATCATGGTAACCAGAGGCTGTTGCACAGAATCATACAAATTATATATATATGTTAAAGCTTGCCATAGATGGGTTTATTCTCATTGTCGTAAGTTTAAAATCATTAACTGCAAGTTTTGCTAAAGAGGATAGTTGCATCCACCCTTGTGCAGGGAAAATGACTGCATGCTGAGACCATAGACCAGTAATTTCATTAATTGAGACTTTTTTTTTTTGCCAACTCTCTGACCGATGTGCCAATAACAATTTTTCAGGTAGTAGCATGCCTACTCCCTCCCTATAAACCCATTTCATCATCTGTAAAGCAGTCTATGGATTTATTTTTGTGGCCAGTGCAGAAACTTCCATTGTCAGCCTCATTGGAAATTTCAGCAAAAATAAGGTTCACTGTGAAACAGCAAATGTTAACTATATTTTTACAAAATGTACAGCTAAGTGTATGTAAAGCCAATCCCTTTTTTTTTAAGTTGTGAATGGCACGTGGAAGGATTGGAACTTCTATCAAGTTTTTATTACAGTCTGGGGAGACTGACCCTCTTGGTTGATACTAGTGACCCTTGCCTCAGGTACAGAGAGGGATGGGAATTTCGACAATTTTTTTTAAACATTTTGTTCTCATGACAAATCTCTAAGTAGAGATCTTCCATTTACTTCTGGGGAGATTTTCTCTCACTAACTGAAATGAAATCTCCCTAAAAGGGACATAGACAGGGTGGTGTATGTTAAGTATGATAAAGCAAAAAAAAAAAGAAGAAGATATTATTGTTATACAGGATTTACATAGCGCCAACAGTTTGCTCAGCGCTTTACAATATTCAATACATTTTTGCAATACATGCACATTGCGCATGTTTTTATCCCTTAACCACTCACCTACAGGGCACTTATATCCCCTTCCTGCCCAGGCCAATTTTCAGCACTGTCGCACTTTGAATGACAATTGCGCGGTTATGCAACACCATACCCATATGAAATTTTTATCTTTTTTTTGAGACAGATAAGAGCTTTCTTTTGGTGGTATTTAATCACCTCTGGGTTTTTTATTTTTGCTAAACAAACCAAAAACCACTGAAAATTTTGAAAAAAAAAAAAGTTTTAGTTTTTGTTATAAAATTTTGTAAATAAGTGATTTTTTTCCTTCACTGATGTGTGCTAATGAGGCTGCAGTGATGGGCACTGATGGACACTGATAGGTGGCACTGATGAGGAGGCACTGGTAGGTGACACCGATGGGCATTGACAGGCATCACTGATGGGCACTGAAAGGCAGCACTCATATGGCACTGATGGGCAGCACTGATATGCAGCACTGACTAGCACTGATAGGTGGCACTGATAGGCGGCACTGACTGGCATTGATAGGTAACACTGAAAGGCAGCTCAGATGGGCACCGATATGTGGCATTGATGTGCACTGGTAGCCACTGATATGTGGCATTGATGTGGCACTGATGGGCACTGGCAGGTGGCAATGATGAGCACTGACAGCTGGCACTGTAGGACACTGACAGGTGGCACTGCTGGGGCTACACAGATCATCAGGGCACACTGATCATCAGTTCCCTGATGATCAGTGCACATGTCCCCTCTGAGTAAAGCCAATTACCGGCTCTTCTCTCGAGCTGTCAGCGTGATCAGACATGTGATTGGACACAGCTGATCACATGACCGAGCCGACATCTTCGGCTCTTTCCTTTGATAGGTGATCTGCTGTGTCCGAGGGGCACAACGCACCACCGATCGCCGCGCTGCGCGCTCCCGGAGCCGCGCATGTGTTGTTAGAATGGGAGGACGTCATATGACTTCCTCCCAGAATGAGAGAACCGCCTTGTGGCCGTCATTACCTTATATGGCAGGCAGGAGGTGGTTACTAAGCTCAGCATCTTACTGATGCAAAGAGGACACATTGCAATGTGCAGGCACCGCAGGTAGTGTATAAAGAAAGTGCCTAATAAAAAAAGGAAGGAGTTTAGCCCCTTTCACAGGGGGCGGACTTCCTTCTGATCAGCAGGGGATCAGCTCACAGATCCCTTGCTGATCAGAGCAGAGCAGATGGATGACACATTTGTGTCCACACATTTTCTGTAGAGGGGACATGTATAGCGCATGCTCTGCTCTATAGGCAGCTGTGAGCAGTTGTCCATTTACCCTCGACTACCTTCTGATCTGATCTGCCTAAAGAGAAAGACGGACCCCCTTCCTTTTTTTTTTTTTAGTGGACCAAAACGAGCCTGGAAGTAGGTGAGTGTAAACTGACACAAATGCAATTTACATCTGCCTGTCCATAGCAATGCACTGACCTTCTGATCAGGTCCACCTGAAAAAAGGACAGGCAAAACAGATCGGATCGCCTAAGTGAAAGGGACCTTTTTTGGGCGAAAAAAAACATGCAAAGTCTCTTCTACCAAAATAAACAAATACTATATTCAGTAGTGTTTGCCTGAAAGCAAACCTGCACTCAAATCCACATAGTGTATATACATATATATTTACAGTGAAACTAAAGGCAGGAATACTCACCTACACTCCAATGGTCTGACGCCCATGAGGTCCCTTGCCAGAGCCAGCATCTTCTCACCAGCTTCTTTTGGGTGGCATTCTTTGGCCATCTTGATTGGCTGGTGCAGGATGACATCCCTTTCAGACATGTGCAGCAGTGCAGTCATCGTGGCACAAAGGCAGTGTACTCAATTGTAAAGGGAGCTTCATAGCTCAGCGTACATTCTACAGAAGACTGTGAACAGGCAGGTAAGTGTATTATAGTGCAGAAGAGATAATGCAACACCTCTTCTGCAATAAAGAGTTTACCTGTCTGCAACTTTCTATTTTCAGCTTTTAGCCATGTTTTATTATAATATTGTAATAGTGATCTGTTGCTGCAGAGAGAGGCAAGGCGGAGCAGCACATCACTAAGTACTGTTTTAAAACTGTGCAGGGATAATAGCTGTAAAAATGCTGTAGTAGCACACTTTTAAAGCAGTAAGTAGCTGATATTCTTTGCAGATCGTGGCTTTTCTGACTTGTGAAAGATGAGCTTGGTCCCATCATTCCGATGTCCCAAACATCTATGCTGGCCCTTTATTGAAATGGGTGGCCTCACTCAGCAATAGGGAGACTTAGGGAACAAGGGACAGAAAGGGAAGCTTAACCGTACAGAAAAAAAATGTGATGCATATAACTGCAGCTGCCTCTTTATCTACTTACCTTTCTGACATGTTTTCATCAAGTTAACTTATGCTTCTGAAATTTTGTTTTTTTTTTTCCATTATATGCTCAGTATGAATTGTCTACGATTGTGACTGATATACTTTACTACCCCCACCACTCAGTTTTCCCTGAACTAGTGAACCAGATCACAAGACTAGGAAAAAATTATTTGGCAGGAAGAACTTTCATTCCCATTTAAAAAACAAAAAAAAACCTTCAAGTTTGTAATTGGCTATTTGCCTGGTGGTCTCTGATGTACTCATAGATAGAACATTAAAGAAGGATTGCAATGAGTTCAGAAAACCAGATAGATACGGAAGCAGCCCAAGCTAGTGAAAATATCGGTTTTAACTTACCATTACTGGCCAGCCATTCCTCTACGTTGAGTCCTTTAGGTAACGCCACCAGCATTAATATATCAGCATCTAGTATTCGGGCAGATGTGTATCGAGGTTCCAAGTAGAGCTTTTCTGTTTCTGCTGTGGCTTTCTTCTTTATTTTACTGCTGAGATGAAAAAGTAGAGTAATTGAGTCTAGGGTCAGATAAATGTCTGGTATAATCTTAAGAAACATATTAAATATGTTTTATGTGACAAAAGCAACAATTATTGTGAAATATGGATTACACTAGAGCGGTGGCTGTCAACTTGTGAGGCGTAGAGGGCTTCGAATGTGTGCCCTGACAACAGGGCCACACCTAATATTCAATGACAAACAACTGTCAGAGACTTCCGACATACTAGACGAGATGGCCAGAGAATGTGGACATGCAACAGGTGTGGTTGGAAACTGAAAACACACTCCAAGAAACAGTCAGTCAGGGGTTATGCTAAGGAAGACTTCAAGACCTCTGCAATTACAGCCTCTTCACAAATGAATGGTCCCGCTACTAACTCCTGGGGTCTGCAAAGGGGCACACAGCAGGTACAAAAGGGTTACTTGGGCACCAGGGCACTGGAGAGATCTAAAACCCAACTTATCTACACATTTTGATATTGTTGAGCTACCAAATACATCATTTATGGAAAAAGTCTCCCCTCCTTGTTAAAAAAGCCCCATAGCCTATGGGCCACATTACTCAACTTCACCATGGGATCCTAACAGTTGAGGATCGCACATATTGTGAGAATGCACTCCTGCACTTTGTAGGCTACTAAATAGAAGGACAAAGCATTTTCATGCCAGGTACACAATAAGGTTAAAGCCTAACTCCAGGTTTCTTAGGACTTTAAAAAGTTTGTTTGGACCAAGCCAGTCCAAACAAACTATTTGCTTCACTAATAGATGTGCCCACTGGGAGCACTATATGAACTGTATGTAGCATCAGCAACTGTACATACAGTATATAGCGCTGTGTTCCGGCACTGGTACAGGGAACTCCTGTCTCACTCCTGGAACAAAATCACTGCTCAGCCATTCACAGGAAGCATTGTTTTTCATCAATTAATACAAGGCTTCCTCTAATTGGCTGAGGTGGAGATCTTGTCATCATCCGCCTGTCTCTTCAGCTCAGCTGATTAGAGGAAGCATTTATTCATTGATGAAATACAGGGCTTCCTGCAAATGGCAGAACATCGCTCAACAATTTGGTTTAATGAGTGGGACTGAGAGTCTCTATCCCGCTGCTGAGCACAGTGCTGCTACATACAGTTTATACAGCGCCCAGCAGGCACATCTTATAGTGCAGCAAATAGCTCACTTGGGAAAGCTTGGTCCAAACAAACTATTTAAAGTTACAAGAAAACTAGAGTTAAGCAGCCCATAGATGATTCAATGTTCTTTCCTTCCAACATGGGTGAAAGGAAAGAAAAATTTCTCAATTCCTCCATCAACAATTAGTGTTGATGGGGAAATGCCTCCTGAAGTGGTATTGTGTTCTGGTGGCAGAGGAATCGTTCCTGGACAGCAGAACACAATGATTACCGCTAGCTGCTATAGCCTCTGGCAGTAATCACATGTAGAAAAATCTGATAGGTTAGGGTACAATCAGCCTGCCCATACATGGATTGAATCTTCGCCGGTCCCTGCTTAATCAGCTGATTTTTGATCCATGTATGGCTACCTTTAAGCTTGAATCTGTCACAAGACTGGGTAATTCACCATTCATTGAAAACCGCATGTCAAAACAATCAGTAAATCCAGTGATGCAATATAGCTGGGGCTGGGTGGAAGAGATGGGGGAGGGGTCAGGTCAAGCCTAAATTTTACAGGAAAGTAAATTTCTACCTATAGCTTTGGCTGCCTAAATATCTGGATCAAATGTTTAGTCTGACATGCAGTTTTCAAAGGTAACCTTTGCTAATACATTCCTTTATACGTTCATTCTGACTCGCCCAAGTTTGTAAAACGAAAGCATTTAAAACATTTTTTACTATTCTCGCTTTCATCTTCAGCTTTTTGTCACAATTAAGATAACACAAGAGGTAACTAATCCCTTTAATAACATGAGGAATTATGCCTGGCTTAGACGCAGATCTATTAATGTATAACCTCAGTGTATGCAAGCCAAGCTTTCCGCACAGCTCAGTACCCTACTCAGTCCTATACCTCTAATTACACACAAGGCTCTTGTTATATGTGGAATGGATCATCCTGATGACTACCCTAATAAAAACTATGGAGGATGTCACAAGTGAACCTCTGATCCCTCACTACCCCCAAAGTTACTGCTGGCAGCACTATCACCATTCCCACTTTGCTGGTTTACCGACCTCTTAGATTCCTCTCTAGTCAATACATCTTTACTTCCTCCTTAGCCTGACTCGGATATTTTTTTACTCTCTACAAGTTTACAATTACACATTACTAGTCCCGAGGGCCGGTTCACACCGAGAATTGCACAGGAATGAGCTGTGTGTTCCTGTGTGATTCACATACAGTTCTGTGTGGTGCGATTTCAGCCCATTCATTTTGAATGAGCTGAAATCGCACTGCACCAGACCAAAAGACGCACATGCATTACTTTGGAAACTCACTGCAACCGTATCGCATGCTACTTCTGTACCAAGTGATCCAGTACAGGCGACGCTTTGCATTTGCGACCTGCTTTGAGTATCAATCACTTAATAATGACACTTGCTGCAGATTGCAACTGCACTGCAGTTTGAATGTGGGAACGCACATGGAATGTTGGTTTCTGGCACTGCGCTTTGGTGTGCATAGACCCTTAAAGTAAGGATTCATTTATTTATCAATTTTGATAACATTTTGCACTAAGACCTAAGTCTTCAACAGACACCATTGAAAAAAAATCTCTTATATAAAAGTATATTTGAGTTTAAACACACTCTACACAGTAGCCCTGCGTGCAGCCACCAAAAAACCAGGATCAAAAATCCTGAAGAACCTCCCTTTATATTCAGTATATTATGCTCATTTTATTACCCCTACCTTGCAATAGGCAAAGTAACAGGTTCTGTTTAATAATGCCCTCTTTTCCAGCTGAACATACTTACCTTTCTTTTGCTCCCCCGCCATCCTGTTCAGTTGCCAGGAATGAAGAAAGATAGCCCTGTGTAAGCTCTGAATCACTTTAGCTATCCCCGGTTCCATGTGACTCTCTCACATGATGTGAGCCACACGCTCTGCCATACCCTGAAGTACCTGGTACTTTCTCTGGCGGTTGGAAAGGTGAATATACGCTGCTTGAAAAGGAGTGTTCTCAAGCAAAGCTTTTGCTTTGCCCTGCATTAGCAAAGCAGATATTTTCTTTAGGGCCCAAATACACCTTTGTGTTACTGTGTGTTGTAAATGCATCGAAATGCCAATATGCATCATACTGCAAAGCAATGTACAATGTTTTGTGTTGATGTGCTTCAGCATGCATTTTGATGAGTTTCCATTAATTTCAGTGGGAAATGCATCAGTCAAAAACACAAAAGTTGTGGTCCCAGCCTTAAAGTGAACTTGTGCACAGACTATGTACATTAAAGTATTTACATATTTTAAACAGGGAGTAAAAAAAAAAAGAAAGAATCACATTAAAACAATCCCTCAGCAGCCATAAGCAACTGATCTTCAAAGTTCACAACAGAGACACAGAAATCACAAAAATATTTAAAATTACACCTGCGCCAAAGAAAGCTCTAATAAATAAATAAATGTTGCTGCTCAAAGATGAAAAAACATCAAGACATAACACCAAAACCGCAGCGCAAGAAAAAATGATTAAACATATAATATAAATAAATATATTTAATCATTTTTCTTGCACTGAGGTTTTGGTATTACAGAAATCACAGCTTGTTTTCTCAATACTTTTTATGTACACAGACTCTTTGGTCAGCTTCCAATGCAGTGGTTTCTAAGCTGAGGTATATAGGGATATACACAGGACATTTAGGGGTATGCTAAAAATAAATAATCATAATAATAATAATAATGACTCACAAGGTAGTGGACCACTACCAAGATGACAGGCCCACAGCCTACAAGGAAGACCATATGGATTTTTGGTCAGGATGCTTTATGGTCTAGATCTAAATGGCACTGTCTACTATGAGAGAGGGATGGGAATGTCCTATCTTTGGGTAATTCAATTGACTTATTCCACAGTGTGTATTTAATCTGATATCCTGATATCTTGCTATTAAGTTCTGTATTCAAAGCATAGCAGTAAACCAACTACTATATCTACAATAGTCAACCCCTGCTGGCTGGAGGAGAGGTAAATATGAATGATCCCTATGCAATATTTTATATTGCATAGTTACATAGTTTATAAGGTTGAAAGAAGATACAGGTCTATCCAACTCAACCTATGTGTGTATTTGCGTGTTTGATTTTTATTCTCTAACAATTCCCATAGCCCTGTATATTCCTGGGGAGGAGATCCAATTTCTTTCTAAATTGTTGACACTCAGCTAGTACCATTTCCTAACATATAACTTGCTTAAATAAAATATATAGGAAGATGGTTCCAGTTAACACACATTTGTAATGCAGTACGGTAGTTAGCAACTAAACATCCAGGTACTGAGTAGGGAGTCTATATACACAAAAGCGTAAATATGTAAAAAATACTTACTGTTTTCCGAGTAATTTTCCAACTGCTTGGAACACCATTTTGCCTCTGGTTACACTTCACTTCAGACTGATGTTCAAGCGGAATACAGCTTCTTCAAAAGTTTGTCCTGATGATCAATTTGGGAAAAAAAAAAAGCGGTCAGAGCCTTGTTTCACTGGCATTGTTTGCAAATTAGCATTGTGAATAACAATACAGTGTTAACAGTGGTAGATTAATTGCACCTTGGGCCCCAGTCTGCTTCAGATTCATGACACCCCCCCACCACTAGGTTCAAGGGATCATATTGTTCGAAAGGGTCAGTGTTGTTTTACTTCTGATGCGCATTTGTGGAGCATTTCTAAAGGATTTGACATCTAGTCCTTTCCCCCCAGAAACAATAAAAAAGGCTAGCACTGTTCCAGACCAAATAGGCTAGGATAGTTAGAATAATGGGTATTTTTAAATAAATCTTTTTTCCAAGACCATAGAACTATACTGGGTTTATCTGTCTGTCAAATCACCAGCCTTAGGTAAAACACATTTATAACACACATCTTTACATGTTAACAGATAGCACCACTAGAATGAAATAATATCAATTACAATACCTCATATAAGTTAAATCTAAGGAAAAATAAGAGGTTGATGGTATCCACAGCAATTAAGGGGTTCTAAAGGCAGTTTTTTTTACTTTATTGCTTTCTCTGCAATAAAGGGATATAAAAGTTTTTTTATTGAAATAACAAACATGTCATACTTACCTGCTCTGTGCAGTGGTTCTGCACAGAGCAGCCCCAATCCTCCTCTTCTCGGGTTCCCCGTCGGTGCTCCTGGCTCCACCCTCCTGCTGAGTGCCCCCAGAGCAAGCAGTTTGTCCATTCACACACAGAGCAATGGCTCGGCCCCACCCTCTTCCCTCTCCTGATTGGCTCACTGGCTGTAAATGCCTCAGCCAATCAGGAGTGAGAGTTCCTGGAGAGCCAAGGCTCTGGTGGACATCACTGGATCAAGAGGGGGCATAGGTTAGGTAAGAATTAGGGGAGGGGGTTGCAGCACACAGAAGTTTTTTTTACCTTCATGCCTAGAATGCACAAAGGTAAAAAACCTTCAGCCTTTAGAATCACTTTAAGGTAAAAAAAAAACCTTCTGAATGACCCCCCCCCCATCCCCTCCTTATAGTTACCTGAGCCTGATGTTGAGCACAAAAGCAGAGGCTCTTGCTCACTCCTCATTGGATATAGAGGCAACAGTGGTAGCCATTGGCTCCTGCTGCTGTCAATCACAGCCAGTGAGAAGGGAACAGGGGGCAGAATACACATCAGTCCGTAATAAAATAGCGTCTACACTTTACATCACCATGGCAAATGCTATCGTCATATACGATCTTCCACAATATTACTGAAATGATCCAGGATATGCTAAACCTTAAGTGATGTCCACATGTGATTTTTTTGGCTTGATCTTATAGCTCGCATTGTTTGGACTTGGATGAAGATGGAGAAGATGTTGTGTGGATTTATAGTGAAGACCTCTGATGAGGTTTAGCAGATCCCACTTTGTTCCAGTAAAATAGTGGATGACTGCTGTAAAACCATCCAATATCTCAAACACACAGATAGGACAGGCATCATGAGACATAGTCCCTGAAAAGAAGGCTGGAGGTGATGTTGCTCAAACCCTGCCCTGGCAGCCATTAAACGTGGAGAACCTGCTGGTTACATGTAGAAGTCACAGGTAGTACAGTAATAGACAGCTTTTATAATTTATGCCACTGGTGATTTACATTTTTTTGGGATTGATGTGTGCTTAGGCAGAGGTACTAAAGCAGAGGAGAAGACTAATTCTAGAAGTGGGATTAAAAGTAAGATATATATTGATATTGACTGCTTTGCATCAAGATGTCTATTTGCTAGTAGACCATTAGACTGAACTGAATAGAGATGAATGCAAAACATGAACTTGGCTCACAACGCTTAAAGTGGAACTAAAGTTGTAAAACTGCAGTAGAAACATGTAAGGTCTCTTCTGCTATAAAGTGCATTTACCTGCCTGTTTGCAATACCTTGTAGAATTGTACTTTGTGCATGAGCAGATCAATTTACATTCTGGCACATTGCCTGTGTGCTGGGATACCTGCACTCCTGTGCATGTGCAGAAGTAACATCATCCCATGCCAGCCAATCAAGATGACAGAAGATTAGCACCCAGAAGAAGGCAGGGAGAAGATAGAGTGCCAGCAAGGGACCTCATGAGCGGAGGACACTTGGAATAAAGCCTTTAGTTCAGCCTTTAGAGTCCACGAAAATTTTAAAATAACAATCACATGGCTAAAAAATAGATACTTATTCTTGTGTTTAAGCTTCGTGAATTGAGCCTACATTGTCTTAAACATTGCACAAATGATAGATACTGACATATATGTCATAAACTTGCGAGTTTAATAGAATCTCACCAAGCTGTTACAGAGTAGCAACAATGTATCATATTAGTAATGGACATATACTGATCAGCCATAACATTATGACCACCCGCCATAACCTGTCGAGGAATGGACTCCACTAGGCCTCTGAAGGTATGCTATAGTACCTGGCACCAAGCTGTCAGTAGTAGATCCTTTAAGTCCTATAAGTTGCGGGGTGGAACATCCATGGATCCCCAAAGATGCTAGATTGGATTGAGATCTGGAGAATTTTGAGGCAAAGTGAACACCTTAAACGTGTTCTGTTCCTCAAACCATTTTTTAATTCATCAGACCAGTCACCTTCTTACATTGCTCCTGTAGTCCAGTTCTGATGGTTAAATGGCCATTGTAGGCTCTTTTGGCTGTGGACAAGGGTCAGCTTGAACACCCCGACTGGTCTGCGGGTGCACAACCCCATATGCAACAAACTGCGATCCACTGTGTGTTCTGACACCTTTCTATCAGAACAAGCATGAACTTTTTCAGCAATACAATAGCTCCTTTTTTTACTGGATCGGGCTACATGGGCCAGCCTTTGCCCCCCACATTCATCAATAAGACTTGCCCGCCCATGACCCTGTTGCTGGTTTGCCAGTTTCTCTTCTTTAGACCACTTTTGGTAGATTCTGAACACTGCAGACTGAGAACATCCCACAAATGCTGCAGTTTTGGAGACCCAGTAGTATAGCCATTACAATTTGGCTCTTGTCAAAGTCGCTCATATCCTTACACTTTTTTTTGTTCTTTCAACACATCAACTTCAGGGACAACATGTTCCCTTGCTGTCGAATATATCCCATCCACTTTCAGATACCACTGTAACAAGATAATCAATGTTATCCACTTTACCTGTCAGTGGTTATATTATGGCTAATCAGCATATATAAAGAAATAAAGCCACGGAGTGCCTTATTTTTTTAATAAAACAGCTCTGAAGTATAACTAAAGGCAACACTTTTATTAAAGTTTTGGGTAGGAGTGCAGAGGGATTAGAACACCTTTCAGTTTATATTTCTACCTGTGGCCCCATTAGACAGACTTGCCCCCTCTCTTTGTCTCATTTACCATTATCATTGAAAGTAAAAGAAAACCCCAAATTTTCAGTTGTCCCCTAAAAAATAATAGAGGAGAAATCTTCCAATGGGGACAATAGTTCTGGTGACCCAGGGGTCCCCAAGGAATTTCCTTAAAGGATAAATTCACCTTAAGTAGCAGACCGGCCCCTCCCTGTTGTGACAGCTAATTGTAAAAATTGGTGTTCTGTGAATGAACTACAAGTCCCGACAGACTTTGTGGCTTTCAGCTTGTAGTTCTCTGTGAACTAGTTTATTGATTCTTCTTGTCAGTATATCTGCTTGTCTGTACATCCCGTACTGGAAAGTAAATATACTGACAGGTCTGCTAGAGACCTACATGGCACCAGCAATCTGCTGATTGCTGGTGCAATGCTTTAGAGACTCCAGATACAAAAAATAATAAATGCGCTTTTTTTACCTGCAAAAAAATGTGCATTTATTATTTTTTGTAAAAATCTGAACGTATCCTTTAATTTGAAGGGATTTCCTCTCACTTCCTGTTTGACTATGGGACAGGTGGTGAAGGGAAATCTCCACAATGGGACACAGATACAAAAAAATCTGGCAGGGGTTATAACCCTCCCTTGCTCTTTTCAAAATGGAAAAGAAAACGTTTTGCCTATATTTCTACTTTAAAAATATGTAGTAAGGTGAAGAGTGCAGAAAATTTAGGATAGTAAATAGACTACCAAGGTATCATCTCAAAGTTCAAAGGCAAAAGGGAACTGTACATGTGTGGGATTTTCAATATACTTGTGGTAGTCATCCAATACACAAGTGAATACAATTTCTAAAAATATAAATTTTATTCCAATATATTAAAAATATTAAATCCAACAAAAACATTTAAAAACACAACCACCACTGTTTGTTGTATGTTTATTAGTCTACGCGTTTCACAACTTCCACTGCTTCCTCAGAACCAACAATGCATATAAGTGGTTTAAAAGGATCGTGAAGGTTATACAGTCATATAAAATCAAGTTCAAGATCTTGCTTTATATGATTGTATAATTTTCACAATGGTTGTGTTTTAATGCTTTGTTGGATTTAATATTTTTAATATGTTGGAATAAATGTGATATTTTTATAAATTGTATTCACTTGTTTATTGGATGACTAACAAAGGTGTATTCAAAGTTTCACACATGTACAGTTTCCTTTTGCTAGTTCTACTTTAATTTCAGTTTTAAAATAAGGGCTAACTAAACAGCTAGTACAGTAACAAGGATACACTGTGGTTCAGGGCACAAGAGATAACAGTATCTCCTAATAAGCAAATTTATGTGCATTTTCCCTAATATTAAGTGGCTGTCAAGTCTTGTTTCTGCAAAACTTCTATGGAGGTCTAAATGTAGCAAAAATCACTTGGAAACTATTTTTAGTACTTCCATCTACATGCAAAGCATTCCTGGCCTGTAACATTTATATATGCTATACACTGCAAAAATAAACAGGACAAGCCGGATTTGTTCCGTCCGGAATTTTTAAAAATGCTTTATGTTTACAAAGGACAGAGGAC